CACACACACACACACACACACACACACACACACACACACACACACACACACACACACACACACACACACACACACACATTAATTGTTTAATCATTAACAATAAATTTACATCTCTGCAAAGTATAATGAACTCTGCACCATCATTTATTTGTTAAAACATTTTATTTTTTATTAAACTGCGTTTTGATTTAATATGTTAAATATCAATCAAATAATAACATTTTTTTCTTCCTTAAGAAAGCTACTGGTAATATGCACAACTTTTTCTAACTTTTTCAAAAAAATCATGATGTTAAACGATGGAAAAAAGTTCAGAGTGTTCAATGATATTTTTCTACATTATATCTTCTCGTAGGGTGATTCTTCCGGAAATAGATCATGTTTCGAATTACGGATTTGCGCTGTTTGATCAGGATCGAATTCGGTTTCGGCAATCCACCCTTCGTCTCGATATGGGTAGAGCGGCCACATATTTCACGCGATTCTAAAAAGGATGGGGATAAGAGTTCGATTCTGATTGCGTGTGCCGTCAATTGATATGACTTAAACGTTGTACTTTTTGGATTATCGTCTACATTCCACGATGACGGATGATGCGAATACACGGTTAACGCGGTTTCGTTGTAAAATTACGTCAAAGGAACGAGCGATTCACGCTTAAGCAAGCACCGACATGTTGACGATTATGTTGTACAAATATTATAACGTTCGATGATCGTTTCCTGCACGCCCATCGCTCGATTTGTCTCTATGTAGCGTCTCTACCCATTTCTTCACGTAACAAATAAGTTAAAAGACTTTATGATACATGTGTTAGCCTTGGTCTGAATCGAACATGAGTACATTCTGCGAACGAACAGTCGCGAGACCCCGTTTGAAATCGTGACCCCGTTTGAAATCGTTAATCGAGTGGTGACACACGTTTCGATTTTAATGTACACATGCCCGATTTAATCCAATCGTAATCCAAACGCCGACGATGCTCGCGGAATCCCGTCGGCTCCTTATTTCGCGTACGAATTCACGTTTCCTTGGACCAAACGATTTCGCATGCTCAATTTACCGTCATGCGATTGTGTACTTCGCTCTCAGAATAGGATTCTCGCAAATGATAGAAGTGTGCACACTTCGCTAAAGAAAAAGCAAAACGTTAAACGTTATGACTAGATAAGATGACAAACGATGTCGATGAAGGGAAACTGATATTGGAAAAAAACAACGTTTATATATATGTATATATGTAACAAGTTTTAAACTACATAGTGTCACTTAACACGCTACTAATCGTAAATTATAAGGAAGCTAATTTTCTTTGGTATAGATATTTGGCAAAGAATCATTGAGACGCTCGTGTTAAACGCAAGCTTTCGAATTTTTAAGATTTCCTCCAAGGATGCGCGTGTATTTTCTGCGGTAACGGTAAACAGATTCATGCGAATTTTCTCACGGATGCACACCCTGTACTAACGTAATGCATTATTACTGTATGTACAACGTTCTTACAATAATCTTTTTTTTTCTTTTTTTTGGGGGGGGCGCACCCCGTTGACCGCGAATCAAAATCCGTGGTGTCAATCCGTAGTGTAATCAATATGCAGGGTCGCTTCTGTACATAGGCGACGAATGATCACCAATTGAGATGTTTAGGTATTGCACCAAAAAATTTGTGATGGTATATTGCACATTTTGCTCGGATTACTGCAAGATCTAGATAATTTGATCTGTCCAAACACGTCTTGACTAGGTTGACGTTCTTCAAAATATGCATGTCTCACTTCTAATTATTTAACAAATAAATGAGAAGAAACTTTCGCATTATGCGAATAAAACTGGAAAAGCTATTATTTGATTTCATTGTCATAAGCAGAGAATACGAATAAAAAACATTAACAGAGAAAAATATTAAATATCGAGATTAGGAAGAAATCTTTCTCTTCATTAAATTTTTTCCATCTCTGCTTCAACAAAACATACTTTGATTATTAAAATGTTTGTTGAAAGTTTCTTAATAAAGGATTTGTGTTTTTTTTTATAATAAATTCTGTGTATATGTCATTGAACAAATGTCTACGTCATTTGGGTTTTTTGTCATTCGTTACTGCTTACGTGATTGTCATACGTTACTATTTACGTACGATTATAAAGCCTATATCACTACTTGCGATCCGACATTGACTTATAGTTGTATATAACTACTCGTCCGTGTTGGTTACAATGCAAAACGTATTTTTTTTTTAATTCGATATAGATTTATTTATAAGTGGCCTGTGCAAAAGTTAAATTTTTATAATTGCCAACTACATTTCGGAAAATGTATATATAATATAACTTGATAATTAAGTTTTTCCAGAAACTTTAGTTAGCTTCGAATGTGAACTCACTCATTTAAATTAATGTTATCTCTTTCACAAAGTAGGTTTCTTCTGTGTTATAAACATCCCACATTTCCATGTTTAGAAGCACTCTTGAAACTTCAATTGAGATGTGTACCTAGTAGAGATGTCAGTTGAAAGTTCTTTCAACTCGACAAACGTTTGTATCACTGAGACGATAGCATGTGCTATTGTTTCTTTCTTCTGCATTCTTCTCCTTTAACAATTTAATCCCTTAATTAAGTTTAATATTTGAAAGTTTTCTGCTTTTTTAATTATTACTTGACACTTTCGACGAAGTCAAGAGATTAAATAAATTTATTACTGAACATACGTTGATGAATATTATGAAACGAAATAAATATCAAATATGACAGATTAATTGTATATTTAATCGTGTTTCTCTTGAAATGCAGTTTCAAGGGAAAGAGAGCACCAGGAAGTTAATCATCAGACCACTTATTCTGTCTCGCGTTCATTTCGGATCGTTCGAAATATGACAGTTGCTTTAAAATCCATTACGAAAGGATAATGTCGCGAGCAAGTACGGTATGGACAGATTCGTGCAAATACCTGAAACAATATGCGGTCCGAGCCTGCGGGGGCGGGATGGGGGGCGCAATTTATGATTTCACATTGCCGCCGACGGCAACGGTGGCGACGGCGACGGTGGCGGATGCGGTTCCGTACTTTTTCTTGTTTTTTTTTTTTTTTCTTTTCTTTCAACGCGGCGTGCCCAGAGCACCCCAGTGCTCGGCGGCGGGTCATGCGTAATGCGGATAGGTGCCGAGATGAGGTGGCACGTGTCCGGAGGCCGTGTGATGGCCGGCATACAAGTTTGCGCCCGGGCTCGTCGACCAGTAGCTCGATGCCGATTGGAAGAGGCCGCCGGGAACGGAAACCGAGACCGACGCCGCCGGCGGCGGCATCAGATTCAACTTGGCGTGGCCGTAGCCGGACATGAAGAGCTCGCTCTGGTATTTGTACGCCGCCGGATCGGCCGCCGCCGGCTGCGTCGCGGCCGCCAGACCCTGGAAATCGAACTTATACGCGTACCTCTTGCCGTGCACCTTCGTCATGATGTTCTTGTCGTAGTAGTACCTGCAAACAGACCGGATGCTACATTCAGATTTTCTCCACACTCAGCGATGATAGGTCTGTAGCGATGATAGATTTGCAGGAGGAGTTTTGAAGCTAATATTGTTGGGAACTTCTCATAAAAAAAATTTGCGCCCGGAGATACATTTAAATTTTGAAGATCCTTTGACATCCACTAAAATTTTTAACTCTTTTTCATTAATTTCATCAACTTACTGATAAATCCGTCATTAATATTAAAGGTTATATATAGTTATATATAATTATATATAGTTCATTTTATAAAAAGTAAAATTGAGATTGAAACTATGAGTTTTAAAGAGTGACTTAAAAATTTGTTCAAATAATCATGTTAGAAATTATGATTTCAATTTTAATAAATTATTTAATATAACATTGCAATGTATTATAAATTAAAAAATATTAATTACTGTTTGATTATCGTCGAAATAATAAATATCATATGCGTATTCTTTCTTGATCTGTATACATTATATTGGTTCTTAATTGTTTTACTATTTATATATTTTATATATTTTAGTTAAAAAGGATTTTTAACTCAATTCGGAGTTTTCAAAATTCTACCATTAAAAATAAGTTCTTGCTTGTTCGAGAGTTCTTATATAGCGGGAAAAAAGGGACGTCAAAAAGAGCAATCGCGTAATATAATCAGTGGATCTGATGGAAAAATAATAGCCGCGTCTACCAGTCAGTCTGACTGTCGGTGATTGAAATTTCTCCCTCGTCCGCCACCCCCTAAATCCTGATGACACCAACACATGCACACGTGCGCGCGAGCAAACGCGAACGTTCGGAACGTTTATGTGCCCAATGAATTTACTTTCTCCCCGAAACTTCGTCAAAACATAAATAATGGTCCGTTAATGGCTTTTCCATTTGACGTTCGCGAAAAACGCGCCGTCGTTGCGAACGTGAGCGTTGCGTAGTCGGCGGAAGAGACCGTCCTAAAACTCACCTCAGAGCCCTCGATAATTTGTCGTAATTCATATTAGGTTTGGACTTTCTCTCGCCCCATCGTCTCGCCACCTCGTCGGGATCGGTCAACTTAAATTCGCCATTGGTTCCTTCCCACGTGATGCACGCGGCATTACTGGAGTCCGATAGAAGCTCGAGTAGAAACTGCCAGAGCTGTATTTGACCGGAACCAGAGCTCGCGAGCCGACTACTCGTCGCCCCGAACATTTGGTAGGGATCTGTGGGCCATAACAAATTTAACACATTGCGTCGCCACAAGTCTCATATTTAATTATTACATTTCTTGGATATAATTCCGGATATTTTATTCTCAACTATGGGAACAAATCTAGTACCAAGGTGGTATATGTTGCGACTACTTTCGTTCATTTCAAAACATTATATTGCTGCAACAGTAATGATTGCATAAGGGTAAAATGCTTGCGTGATTAGTGCCAATAAACATAAACTCCGTTTTCACACTGTGAGTGAGCGCGAATGATGAAATTTTTCGCAGTTTCACGTAGGATATACCTATCCATTACACGGTTGTTTTTCAAGAGCTCCCATATCACCCTTTAAAAGCTTTACAATGCGTCATCACCGACGCTCGCCGCCGCTCAGACGCGAAGGGCTCTACAGCTATACAAAAGAACATAATCGCAACCCCACAATAGAATAGAATTCATTTGGATCATAATAATTTCAATTTGAGAAACTGCCGTCGGAGTGGTTCAAAGGGCGGCACGAGTGTCTTCTAAGCTTTTCGGAGGTTCAAACGAGCAACTCGATATATCGATTTTTTCGTTGCAGAAATGCATTTTCGTTTACAGAATTGTAATATAGGACTTAATTTGGAAATGAAAGAGATAATTTCTTTTAATTTATAGCTGTCCAAGATTTTATTTTTTTAAATACTAAGTATGAAGTATAGCAAGTATCTTATATAATTGTAAACATTTTATTTTTAAAATTATATATAATTTTGATTCCATCCATTTCTAAAAAAGGCATTTTTGAATAGCCGATATTCAAATGTATCGAAGTTGTTATTGTCATTTTTCCATGATGCTAATTGATTTCTCATTGCACTTCTTCATTGCTTACTTCGTAAACGGTTGTCATCGTGAAAATCGTTTTGACAGTTGTGTTGTAACAGAAGGTTAATAATGTAACAGTATTATATAGTTTTTGCTCTTTTTGTTTAAAAAAGATAAATAGCGTGCGCGCAGCGCACGTAAAGAAATAAAAAAAGTTAATAAATAAATAAATAAAATAGCAAGAATATAAGCAACAAGAATAAACAAAAAGAGAAAATTTAATAAAGAACGAGTTGAGAAGAACGATTGTAAACATTAAATAACCATTTAAAAAATAAAACAATAATTAATTCGAGTTTCAGGAATATAATTGTAATCAATTATAGATATAATATATATTTGTAAAGTATATAAATAAATTATAAGTAAATAAATTATAAGTTATAAGTATGTAATATTATAATTATACAAATGGCGACGTTTCATTACGTTTTTTTATGCATATTTTCTTGCATAGATTTTAATATTTTTTTATTAATGATTTTTCTTTATATTACAATTTATTATAGATTTTTTCTTATTTGTCATTATAGATATATGTATAGGGTATCCTATATTCAATAATACATTTTAATATTTTTTGAACGATTTTAATTTTTAAAGAAAAATCTTTCATATAAAAATAATCGAGTTTCAAGAAAGTCATGATTATAATATTGATTTATTTACAGATGACACCACTGTCGAAATATTTTTATGGTCGTCATTTTTGTAAATGGAATTATATATATATTTTTTGTTATGTAGTATGATTCCTCTATTTATTTTG